CGTACATGTTCTCCACCCCTTATTAACGCAGCGTAGAGAGGTTATACGTGAAAAGCACATTTTTTTTTCTTTCCGGATCACAGGCACTGCTCGGTCACTGCATGATTGTCGCTCTGCATGACACTGACTGTGATAAGATTACGTATTTTTTTTTCTTCCACTTCGTTTCCGTCTACGTCTTCTCCTTCTCCTTCTCCTTCTCCATCTCCTTCTTCTCCTTCTCCTTCTCCTTCTCCTTCTCCTTCTCCTTCTCCTTCTCCTTCTCCTTCTCCTTCTCCTTCTTCTTCTTCTTCTTCTTCTTCTTCTCCTTCTCCTTCTCCCTCTCCTTCTCCCTCTCCTTCTCCCTCTCCTTCTCCTTCTTCTCCTTCTCCTCCTTCTCCTTCTTTTTCTTCTCCTTCTTCTTCGTCTTCTCCTCCTCCTCCTTTTCTTCTTCTTCCCCTCCTTATTCTACTTCTTATTCCTCTCCTTTTTTCCTCTAGACGCTAGGAATGATCATGTATTACAATACAAAGGCAACTTGAGGATGTCATTGGAATATTTTTATAGCTTGAGGATCAGGTTCTCTCGTTATTTTTATATTCATTTTTTATCGAAACCAATATATATATTTTTAAAAACTTTATCATTGCTATGCCTATGGTATTTACTTCTCTCCCTTTTTACAGAAAAAAAATACAACAAATAAATGAAAATAGAATGAATAAAAAAAATAAACAATAAACAACACAAACAAATGAAAACACAGCAAAGCAACCCGACCAACCGACCAACCCGCATAACGCACGCCACATCAAAAACGTTCCTGCCACCCACGGGAACCGCCAAAGGGACTTGCCACGCCACACCAGCCACGCCACAGCAACCACCGCCACACCAGCCACGGCCCCCGACCTTCTGCCTTCCACAGACAGACAAGTTCGCGACCTCTGAGCTTCCCATCCGCTCCACATTTCCCCCGGCTGTCGGTTTCCCTGTCCACGCTTTCGTAAAGCAGTCGATGAAAAGAGAGGGAGGGAGGAAAGGAGAGAGGGAGGGAGAAATACGTTATATATATACATATATATATATATATATATATATATATATATATATATATATATATATATATATATGTGTGTGTGTGTGTGTGTGTGTGTGTGTGTGTGTGTGTGTGTGTGTGTGTACGCACAAACATACACACACATATATATAATGCTCGTTTCTTTTCTTTTGTCCTATATTTCTTGTCTTTTAGTGCTATTGTGTTTGTTACTGTATCCTCGTCTGTCGTCCCCCCCCTCTCTCTCTCTCTCTCTCTCTCTCTCTCTCTCTCTCTCTCTCTCTCTCTCTCTCTCTCTCTCTCTCTCTCTCTCTCTCTCTCTCTCTCTCTCTCCCATTCGTTTAACATAACTGCTTCACCCTCTGATTCGACAGTTATAGAAACAGGGTGTGGCAAGGTAGCAGTCAGCCAACTTAATTGTTTTTATTTAGCGAATAATGCAGCACTCCATTACATGAAATTGCTTTTTTAACGGCATTGTGATAATACACAGATAAAACTCCTTCTAATGAATTAATGTAGATACCTTTAGCCTTCCACTTGTCCTACACTCTGATCAATATCGTAAAAACTGGAAAATGTTTAGACTGTATCTGTAACTATTTTACTCTGGCGTGGATACGAAGAAAATTGATTTAATTCTTTCAACTGCAACTTTCCACTCTGCCATTGTAGGCTGTGAGTACTAGGTTAACATAAAAATTGAGAGCGTTTTATAAATAGATAAATTGTAAAGTGTGTCCCAGACGACTGCATGTTGCCATACCTGTGCAACAAGTGCTTACGGTAATTTGACAATATTGCGTAATGCTTTGCATATTTTCTTGCAAAATATGGAAATGAGCGATTCTAGATAAGTAACAATATATATATATATATATGTACATATATAAAAATATTGCATTGCATTTGACTATTCATGGAGGACCAAACGGACGAAACAAAATCCCCGATTTACCAAAGAAAATGGAAAAAAATTAACACATCCCTTATCACATTTGCAACATTGCAAATCGAGGTCACGTGCAATACCTCGATGTCTACGAACTGACCGCGATGGAATTTGTACACGGGAGGCAGAGAGTGTCGACTGTGCCCTCAGGCTCCTCTTTGCCAGCCCTGTCAGTCAGTTAACCAGTTAGCCAGTTTACCAGTCAGCTAGTCAACCAGTCAGCGAGTTAACCATTCAGCGAGTTGACCAGACAACCAGTCAGCTCATCAACCAGTCAGCCAGTCAACCAGTCAGCAAGTTAACCAGCTAGCGATTTTACCAGTCAGCCAGTCAACGAGTTAACCAGTCAGCGACTCAACCATTCAGCAAGTCAACCAGTCAGCGAGTTGACCAGTCAGCCAGTCAACCAGTCAGCGAGTTGACCAGTCAGCTCATCAACCAGTCAGCAAGTTAACCAGCTAGCGATTTTACCAGTCAGCCAATCAACGAGTTAACCATTCAGCCAGCCA